AGAAAGAAAAAAGATTTAGTTTTATGCTCCATCTTCAATCAATTTTCATGTAGGACATGAGTTTTTGCTCAAAGGTCTTTTTTTTTTAGCATGTGTGTCTACAATCATTCCGGCACTATTTGCTACAGAGTAAACTTTCTCAGTGAATTTGTATCTCAGTCAAAACTCAAGTTACTACATTTCTGGAAGTCTGTGTCTAGAATCTCCTTCCCTGTTTAACTTAATTTTTTTGTGGTGCTGGGGATCAAACCCAGAGCCTCACAAATGCTAGGCCAGTGCTTTACCACTGAGCTGTACCTCCAGCCCCTGTGATTTCTGTCTTGTTTCATGTATTTATTTGTTTATCTGTCTTTAGGCCGATCCCACATGGCTTTGATTATAGTAGTTTTATCACAAGTCTTCTATGGTTTAGTGTAAAAACAACCTTGTTAAAAGAATACATAGAGGGCTGGAGATTTAGCTCAGCACCTGGTAAGCGTGAGGTTGTGAGTTCAATTCCTGGTACAAAAAAAAAAAAGAGAGAATCTTTGAAGAGAATCTTGGGAGGTCCACGGATGGGATCTTCTGAAATTCCCACACTCTGGGACACTGAGGCAGGAGGATCAAAATGTGAAGCCCAGTTTAGCAATTTAATGAGAACCCTGTCTTGAAACAAAACATTTGAACAGGTCGAGGATGTAGCTCAGTGTGAGGGCCATGGGTTCAATCTTCAGTACTGCCAAAAAGCAGGGTGCTGGGGTACCTTCCTGCTTTTTCAGCGGCCCATTCCTCCTCCCCAGGGAAGTGTGAGCCAGGCCGCGGTGGGCCGTGACTTCTCTGGTCCTTGATTCCTCATCCCTCACAGGAGGGGACCCACGCTGCTCAGTGGGGTGCAGGGAGCACCCGGGCACATGATACCTGCCACACCTGCCCTGTGGCAGCAGCGAGTGTGGGATCTCTGGTCTCCCCGTGAGTTCGGAGGTTCACTGGGACCAGGATGGGACTACTCTGGTGTCTGCGTGCTTGGCAGGGCCCCAAGTGTCAGTCACCAAGTCAGCAGGCAGAAAATGGCTTGGACATCGTGCGTCTGACGGAACCTTGCAGTGCCCTGGACAGCTGTGTGCAGCCCCTCGGAGATGACCCCTTCGGGGAGGCTGGCGACCCACAGGAGGCTCCACCCAAGCCTGCTGCCAGGGGGCATGAGGGCAGCTACCAGGGGGCAATGTGCCCAATGCCCATGACAACGGCTGAGGAAAACATAGCTATGTCCCCCTTGCCACCCACACTGGGCCTGAAAGCCCCCCGGGAAGAGTAAGTCACCCTTCCCTGCTGTCCCTTGCCCTGCTGACATTGGGCAGATTGTGCTGCTCTGGGCCTCAGTTTCCCCACCTGAATTACCAGAACTCTGTTCTGCATGATGGGAGGGAGGGAAGGCCCCGCTGGGATGAGAAGCCTGTGGGGTGAGGCTTGGACAGTGGGCCCCAGCATCCTGGGGACTGAGAGGGGGTGCAGGGGCTCCTGACCTGCGGCTCTTGCACCTCCTGACCTCCCTCCCTCACCGGGGGTTTCTCCCCTCTGCAGAGGTGAGACTGCCGAGACCCAGGCAGCACCAAGGCCTCTCCCCGCTGCAGTAAGTAAGACCCAAGTGAAGCCAGGTGTGGGGTGGAGTGTCCAGAGACCAAACTGGTGTGGGACTGGAGGTCAAAGTGCAAAGTCGTGAGGGTGAGCCCGTGTGTGAGTGTCCGTGTGTTTACATGCACGATTCCGTGACACTGCATGTGTCCCAGGGTGCAGATCGTTCCACATCAGCGTGGCTCCTTCCTCGATCTGTTCACAGCCAGAGCACACAATCCTCAGAGGCCCTGAGCTTCTGGAAAGTTCTAGAAGCTGTGCCCACCTCTGCCAGCTCTGCTACTTCCTAGCTCTGACTCCACCTGAGCCACCTGCACATACGCAGCTGGCCGGGTCATTGTTATACTCTTCCCACTCCTGCCCGGTCTCTTCTGTGCCAGCCCTGGCTGCTCGCACCCAGCCCCACCCCGAGCAGCTCCAGGGTCATCTGCTCCTGGCCCTCCTCGGCTGTCCCGCTGCCATGCCGCCCTCCCCTGGGCTCCAGGATGTCCTCACACAGCAGTGTCCCAGGACACCTCACCTTGCCTCACTGAAAGACGACTCGGGTCAGCCAGTGGAACCAGGCCCAAAGCTTGCTGCCCCTTACTGAGTCACACACAGTACAAGCTGTGAAGACAGCTGCCAAGCCCCAACCGCTGGTGCCCCACTTCCACATCAGGCTCCACCCCGCCCTCCCTGCACATGGGCAGTCTCCCCATTTGTGCAAAGTTGTTCCTGTTGGCACACAGGCACCCCACCATTCCTCTGTCTGCCTTTGCTCCCCTCCTCCGTGGGCGCGTCCTGCCGTTTATTTATTTTTGGTAGTACCAGAAAGTGAACCCTTCACACTGAGCTCTGAGCTACATTGTCAGCCCTTTTTTTAAAACTTTGAGACACTGCTTCAATGGGTTGCTGGATTTCCCGGGTTGAGACTGAGCTTGCAATCTTCCTGGCCCAGCCTCCTAGAGTGCTGGGCTTATAGGCCTGAGCGTCAATGCTCGGTTTTGGGTCGCCTCTCTCTGCCGGTTTTCTCAGACTCAGGATCCCTCCAGAGTCTCCACCATCACTCGGTCCTCACCCAGCCCTGCAGCTCAGCGTGACCCAGAGCTTTGGGGCCGTGGGAGAGGTAGCGGCTGTGAGGCTGGACCCCAGACCATCACAATGCCGTGGAAGCCTCAGCTTGGCGTCTGTGTTTGTTGGTGGCATTAGGGTTTGAACCCAGGGATGCTCTGCTACTGAGCTACAACCCCAGACCTTTTTACTTTGGTTTTTCAAATTTTTTATTAGTCATCCACGTTCGTAGTACATGGGGTGTTGGTACATAGATATAACATTACCAAATGATCCCTTCTCATTAGCAAATGATCTATCACCTTGTTTCCCTCTGTCCGTCCTTTATTTTGCTTTTCAAAAAATTTATATTTATGTATTTTTTGAGACAGGGTCTCACTATGTAGTTCAAGGCTCGTCTTAAACTCATGCCACTCCTCCTGCCTCAGCCTCCTGCATGCTACAGGCATGCACCACCATGCCTGCATATTTTGTGCTTTAAATTATTTATACTTTGGGTTTCTCATATAAGAGAAACCATGCAATATTTAAGCTTCTATATCTAATTTATTCCACTCAACATTATGGTCTCAGAAAAAAATTATAATTTCAAGGTCCATCCACTTTCCTACAAATGGCTGACATGTATCCTTCTTTACGGCACAGTGCTATGCCACTGTGGGTAAATACATTTTCCTTTTCCATTCATCTGTTGATGGACATATAACACTCCTCCAAGGCTTAGCTATTATGAATTGTGCTCTTTTAAACACATCGTGCATGTATCACTGTAATACGATGCCTTTAACTCCTTTGGGAAGATACCTAGATGGGGAATAGCTAGGCCAAGTGGAATTTATATTTTTTTAGCTTTTTGAGAAATCTTCATACTGGTTTCCGTAGAGGTTGTATCGGTTTAAATCCCCACCACTCAGGGAGAAGGTCTCCTCCCACCCCCGCTCCAGCCTCGCTGGCATTTCTGGAGGAAGATGGAATCTCAGTATTGCTTTAATTTCTGTAATCCCCACCCTATTTATTTTTTATTATGAGACAGAGTCTCGTTACGTAGCCCAGGCTGGCCTTGGACTTCGGCTCCTGCTTTAGTGCTGGGATCACAGGCGCGGGCCACCACGCTCAGCTCAGCTGCTTTCCGTTTGCCCGCCTGCTGCAGCAGTGAAGATTGAACCCAGAGCCCTGCACTGAGCTGCATCTTCACCCTTCTTAAGTTTTAGACTTTGAAACAGGGTCTTACTCAGTCGCTACCTTGCCGGGGCTGAGCATGAACTTGCGATCCCTACAGCGGTGGGATTACTAGCCTACACCACCAGGTGCAGCCAGGGTTACTCTTTAATTCAGGAAAATAATCAAAGGTGTCTTTGTCAGGGGGAAAGTTGGCTGTCCCCTCTGGCTTGTACAACACTCAGCTCCTTGTATTTTTTTTTTTTTTTTTTTTGTCTTTTTCGTTTTTACCGGTACCGGGGATCAAGCTCACGACCACCTGCTTGCAAGGCAGGCGCTTATGCCGCTGAGCTAAATCCCCAGCCCCAATTCCTTGTATTTTCAATACTGCTGTTAGCTAACCATTTCCCTGGTATGCGGTGTTTTGTGTGTGTGTGTGTGTGTGTGTGTGTGTGTGTGTGTGTGTGTGTGACGGGGATTGAACCCTGAGCCTTCACACTGAGCTACATCCCCAACCCAAATTTAAATTATTTCTCAATAAGTCACTAAGGTACCAGGCTGCTCTAGAATTTGGGATTATCTTGCTTCGGCCTCCCAAGTAGCTGGGATTACAGGTGGGCAACACCTTGCCCGGCTTCAGACATCACTAAAAGAAAGTGAAATACAGAGTCTTTTTAGTTAGCGCAGATATTTTAAGGATGCCACCATTTATTGAGTTGTGACCCTGGGAGCTTAATGGTGCAAGAACTTTAGAACCCAGCGGGAGGAGAGAGGAGCCATTAACATGTAATAAATGAGTAATTTCACCATAAATCATAATCAAGCGGCTAAGGGAGGGGAACCTGGGGGAGCAGGGGTTATTCCAGGGAGGTACTCAGTGATCAGGGAAGTGACATTTGAGTAAAGATGCAAATGACAAAAAGGGGTGAGCTGTACAGACAGAGGCCCGAGCATCCTGGGTGGGGGTGGTAGCGCCCAAGACCCCATGGAAAGGGGTGCACTGGATAACCCGGGCCAACCGCTTCCTGTCTGACTGGGGATAGAGTCTTTGCGAGCCGAGTGGGTATGGGGTGCATCCTAAGGGGCACAGGGAGAAAGGGCAGCAGGAAGATGCCCAGAAGGAGTTTTGTGGGGCAGCCTGGCCAGATGGGAAGCCTCCAGGTCCCCTTCCCTGTCCCCAGGAAGCGAGGGACATCGATGAGAGGAGAGAGCTGGGCCCCACACAAGAGTCCGAGAAGCCTGGAAGCCTCTGGCCCGGCTTCATGAAGTGCTTGCTGGAGGTGGAGGAGGAGGAAGCCGCCCATCGGAGAGCCTGGAAGGCCCGGGCCCTGACAGCTCGCAAGTCTCTGCGGACCCTGACACCGGGGCCCACCTCGGTCCCCATCAGCCACTCAGCCCCTCTGACCCTATCCCAGGCCCCCACCTGGGCCCCTGCCACCACCCCATTCTGGGCCCCGCCTCTTGCCCCTACCCCTGTGGCGGCCCTGGTCCCAGCCTCGGTGTCCAGTCCCTTCCTGCGGGGTCCTTTCTCAGACCTAGGCTGGAGGTGGACGGAGCTGCTGCCCCAGAGCCACGAGTGGAGCCTGAGCTGCAGCAGGCCATGGTAGGGGCCACCCCATGTCCCAGCACCCCAGGCTCAGAGCCTGGTCCCAGGGAGGCTCCTTCCCCTCCCATTCTGATCCCTTTCTGCTCCTCCTCCATCCCACCCCGCCCCCATCTGTCCCTTGCTGCAGAGACTCCCCAGGGCTGCTCCACTGCTCTGTCCCTCCCTCTACTGGGTCCCCATCTGCCTTCTGTGCAATCTGGCAGCTGTGGTGCCCGGGCCCAGGCCTGTGTCTTCTGCAGGCAGGAGCTGGAAGAACACAGCCTGTTCAGGCTGAGTCAGGTCTGGGAAGAGCAGGCCCAGGCGGAGGAGCCCCTCACGCTCAAGCAAGAGGAAGGTGGGAGCCTTTTCACGCCACGCCCTCCACCACTGCCCTGCTGCCCCACAGGCCCGTATAGTGGCCCTGGCCGGGGTGGCAGGCACTTGGCCTAGGACACAGAAGGGAGATGGACGCAACTGCACAGGAAACTTGCCTTATAATCACAAACCCCAAGGGGTCCTGTGATTCAGGGCCCAGCTCTCTGCCAACTCCAGGGTGGCCTCTAGAGAGGGGCAAGGGCTCCGCAAAGCCTCCTGGAAGCTCCCCTGGACAGAAGGCAGTCCCTCCCCGTTCAGCAGGGCCGCCAGCCCCGACAGGCCCCATCTCCCACTGCATCCCACCCCACCCCAAAATGGAAGAATGTGAACCCTTGCCCTAGGGAAGGCCCTGAGCCCTCCATTCCATCATCTTTGGGGCTAGGCCTCACCTGTCCCCTTCTGCCTGGCCACAGAAGAATAAATATGTGACTGACCCCTCCTACCTGTTCACCAAAGTCCGGGGCCCTCTAAGGGATCTTCCTGCCTCAGCCTTTGGAGTAGGATCTGGGTCTCCTGGCCCGCTGGGCATTTGACCTTTGGGGTTTGGGTTTTACTTTCTGAGCCAGGGATTGTGAAGCAGGATTCTATACTGGCCTACACCCCAGCCCTGCTCAGAGCAGTCACAGCTGCTTCTGATGCCTCTTGGGTTCTTCCTTTAGAGGCTGCTGCCCTGTGGCAGGTCAGCTCTTACCCCAGTCCCAGTCCTAGCTGCCTACATCCACATTTCAGCTCTGGAGAAGTCAGAGCCAGGCACTGACCTAACACACCGGCTCCAGGAGGCCGTAAGACTGCAGGTTATAGGAAGGGAACTGAGGCTCGGGAGCATCATGTGTTGTCCCTTGGCACCTACATTGGTCAGCTCAAGCTGCTCTAACAAAGCACCACTGACTGGCTGGTTGGAAGTTCAAGGTCAAGGTGCTGACTGGGTGGTTTCTCCAGGGGCCTCTCCCCAGCTTGTGGGCAGCTATGTCCTCTCGAGGCTTTTCCATCAGGCTCAAATGTCCCTGGTATCTTTGTGCGTGTGTGTCCTAATATCCTTTTCCTGTATCAGTACACTAATCATACTGGCCTAGGGCCCAGCCTCCTGCCTCTTTCTGATTTATTTAGTCACCTCTTTGAAGCACATCTCTCAGTTGTATGTGGCGGGACACACCTGTAATCCCAGCATTCAGGAGGCTGAGGCAGGAAGACAGAGTTCAAATCAGTTTTCCAATCTTGTCTCAACAATACCAAAGGCCCTTTTCCCAGATAACCACATTCTGAGGCACTGGGGCGCAGGGCTTTGATGTATGAATTTTGGGAAGCCAATCACAAGGCTACGGTGACCTAGATTTTTCTGTGGGCAGAAAAAAATCACTCTGTGAGTGGAGAAACCGAACTTGGAATGCTCTGACCTTGTGTCTGGGTTGGAGCTACACTGGGCCTTTGTTGACACCTTCCTGTCCTCTGTTCCAGAACACCAAAGCTACCCTAAAAGTATCTGCACACACCATTGTCAAGAGCACAGACTAAGCCATGTGGTCTCCCCTGCCTCAGTTTCCCCTCCTTTCTGACAAGCATAAGCATTGCACTCCTACGAGAATGATGCAAGAATTAAATGAGAACTTGGCACAAAGACCTTAGCCAGTGTCCGGCACGGTGTCCATGCCCCAGAGTGGGGGTACTCCTGTCACCACATGGGCCCCTGATGAGCTCTGTGCTAGTCACATCAGCTGGACCCCTGGCCTGGCCTCCGAGTGGAGAAGGCAGTGAACCCAGGGAGCCACACAGTCCCCGCTTTGGCTCTTTTAGGTAGCCCTGCCCCCACCTGGTCTCGGTGCTAGAGGGCATTGGAAGGGTGGGATGCAGGGGGCACACGTCACGCTTGCTCTCCCCGCAGCCTTCCACAGCTACTTTGAGATCTTCGATGGCCCCGGCGAGTTGGACGCCCAGAGCCTGAAGAGCATCCTGGTCCTCACAGGCTTTTCCCTGACGCCTGCCCAGGTGGAGGCCGCCCTGATAAGCGCTGATGTCGATGGTGAGGTTTGGGCCCTGTGCTTGGTTTCATGCTCTGAGGTCTTAGTCTAGAGAGTCTTAAAAGTTTTTGAACAGGGGCTCCATCCTGGATTTTTATTGTGCCACCAGTATCTTGGCCGCTTTCTCCTTGCTGGGAGACAATGCCCAACACTCACAGCATGGAGAAGTTTGTTTGGGCTCAAGACTTCAGTCTATAGCTAGCTGTGTCCAAGGCAGAAACGGGTGACAGAGGGGCCAGCGGAGGGGAGCTGCTCACTCAGAGGCCAAAGGGAGGAGCCGGGAGGGAGGAAGACATACCCTTCCAGGACGCACGCCCATTGACCCACTTCCAACCAGGCCCACTTGCTCCAGCAGCCCATGGAGCTCTGAAGTCATCACCGATGAGTATAGCACCCCATGACCCAATTGCCTTCTGCACACCTGAAAATTAGGGGGGACACTTTAGGTCTAAACCTTGACAACTGGATGATCCCACATATGATGTAGCAGGTCCTGGTTCTGGGAGTTCATGCTCTTCAGCTCCAGTTTCTGGGGACCCAGAGATGGCTGAGCCTCCTGACCTCAGGCGTAGGTGATTTTGGGGATCCCTTCCCCTCAAGGTCCTGACCAAGCTTCATCTGAGGTTTCTCCATCACGAGATCGCTCACACTTGTCCGTGTGGCGTTGGACAAGCCACAGAAGTGTGTTCTACGCTGGTCTCTCCATCTGTAGAATCAGGGTGACAATGGTGCCCCCTCACCAGGTTTCTGTAAAGATGAAACAAGATAAACCAGGCAAAGCACTCAGCATGGCACAATGCCTGGTGCACAGAACACGCCCAGGAAACATTAACCACTGGCATACTCACCCAGTAAGCATTTACTAGGCACCTACTTGTGTGCGCACTGTCAGGTAGGAGCCATGACCTAGCTGCAGCCCGGGACAGGCAGTGCCTTCGGGCAAGGTCAGCCAAAGTTAAAGGCACCAACAAAAGCAGCATGTAAAGTGGCTTAAAGGGGGGCCGGGGATTTAGCTCAGCGGCATAAGCACCTGCCTTGCAAGCAGGCAGTCGTGAGTTCGATCCCCGGTACCGATAAAAATAAAAAGACCAAAAAAAAAAAAAAAAAAACAAGTGGCTTAAGGAAAGAGTCAGGAAGGGTGGCTTCCTGGAGGAGGTGACCCTGGGGCCAAGTTGCAAAAGATGAAGCAGGACTGAGCCAGGGAGAGAAGTCTGCATGAGGCGAAGAGTGCAGCACAGGGGAATCCGTGTGGTGTGGTGTGTGGCCGGGCTCAGGGTGTGTGGAGCAGAGTCCTGTGTGGTGCCTGGTTCCTGACAACTGGGTACAACTCCGTTCCCTCCATGGCAACACAGAATGACCTCAGCCTCAGCGGTGACCCGAGGTTAGTCTTATCAAGCAGCCCCACGTGTACTTTCAGAGGCCACATGATCCTGTGTTGAGTTCGTCAGCCAAGCACAGATACCGGTCTCAAGCCCTGAGGACCCAGCATAGAGCAAACATGCTGTTCTTTTTTTTTTTTCTTAAATTTTTTTCTTTTTTATCGGTACCAGGGATCAAACTCACGACCCTACGCTTGCAAGGCAGGCGCTTATGCCACTGAGCTAAATCCCCAGCCCCTAACACCAAACATGCTGTTCTTGCCTCCAAAAAAATTCCATCAAATTCCAAAGCATGTGGTCAGGCCAGGTTGGGGGTGCACACCTATAATTCCAACACATCGCTGTGAGTTTGAGGCCAGCCTGGGCCACATCGTGAGTTCCAACCCAGCCTGAACCAAATACAGGGTGAGATCCTGTCTCAAAATACAAAAAGCAGAATAGAAAGTGTGTGGTGGGAATCCAGGGGTTTTTTGAGAGGCTTCTTGGGAGATCTGACCTGGTCTGGTCCGAGACCAAGCGGAATATGAGCAGTGGAGTGGGTTTTAGGAGAAGGAGGCAGCATGTGCACAAGGCCTGGGGAACGCCTTCGGGGGCGCGGTGCCCACACTGGTAGCCATAGCTGCTGCTGCTGCTGCTGTTCAGTGGGCACGGACCAGTTCCAAGCACCTCAGCTCATTGTATCTCCCACGAGTGTTCTCTACAGAAGCAAAAACTGAGTTTGCTGGGGTTGAGAGCCATGGATAGAAGCGGTGGGACTCAGGTAGTCACCCAAACCGCAGCCTCCACTGCGTGATTCCCAGAAGTTTATAACCAGGAGATTTTAGCTGTCACCGCCTACGGGCGCAGCATTTTCTGCATTGAACACGGGTCGCTTTTGTAATCAGACCTGGCGAGTGTACTGGTGACTGTGCTGGGTTGCAGGGCCTGGGCCGGCTCCACAAGGCCCCTGCCCCACCCTGTTCCTTCTCTGGCCTCTGCAGGAGATGGTCATGTGGACTTCAAAGACTTCCTGGCTGTGATGACAGACACCAGGCGCTTCTTCTGCTCCGTGGGTGAGCAGGGGCCAAGCCCGGGGCACAGAGCTGGAGGAAGGCCCAGAACCCTGATGGGGAAGGCATCTGGGCCCAGCCCATGGTAATGACAGCCACTATCCCGTGTCCCCAGAACAGAATGTTGTGACTAACATGGCTTCCCCGAACCCCTACACTCTGCTCTTTGAGATTCTGTCTCTGCTGGTGGAGATGCTGGCCTTGCCGGAGACAGTCTTAGAGGAGATCACCAAGTGAGTAGGGCTGGTGCGTTTGGGTGGAGGGTTGGGAATGCAAAGGTGACATTTAGCATTTTGGCAGCTGAAGAGTTTTGACAGGACCCTGTTGCAAGTGAAAGAAGCCCAGATCAAACTGGCTTAAACACAGCACTCAGGAGGCTGAGGCAGGAGGATCGCCATGAGTTCGAGGTCAGCCTGAACTATAGTGAGTTCAAAGCCAGCCTGAATGACATACAAACAAACAAACAAAAAAAGGTTTAAATAAAAGAGGATACACTGGTTCAAATAACTGGTCAGGGCTTCAGGAAAGGCTGGATCCAGAAGACCAAATGATACCAAATAAGGCTTTACCTCTTTATGCCTGGACTAAAAACTCAGAAGTCTCTCTCAAGTAGGAAGGTGGGGATTGTGATCCACCCCTTTAGCTCTGCCACTTTAATAGTAAGAGGAGGGCTGGGGATTTAGCTCAGTGGTATAAGTGCCTGCCTGACAAGTTTAAGGTCATGAGTTTGATTCCCAGTCCTGCCACCAAAAAAATTTAATAGGAAAGGAATTCTTTTTTTTTTTTTTTTTTTTTTGTCTTTTTTGAGACGGGGTCTCACTATGCAGTTTAGGCTGTCCTTGAGCTGACTTTGTAGCCCAGATTGGTCTCAAAACGCACAGCGATCCTCTCATCTCAGCCTCCTGAGTGCTGGGATTACAGGTCTGAGCCACCATGGGGCTTGGAAGAGGAATTCTTTCCTGTATTGCCCACACTGCGGTCCCAGGAGAGGACTCTGATGGACACCGCCCATGGCCAAAGCACTGAACCCCTGCCTGTGCCCAGGGAAGATGAGGCAGGGTGGGGGCATCTAAAGGAGACATGGCCTCAGGTGGCACTGCTGGAGCATTTCAGGGCTGGAAGGAAACGGGAAGGGATGTCCACACAGCAGCCTCAGTCTCACGCCTCACAGCAGCCCTTCTCCATTCCTGGTCTTAAGCACGAACACATTTTATGCTGTGGCTCATAAATGCCAGTTTTCAGCGCGGTGGTTGTGAGGTTCACATAAGATCAGAATTCAGAATTGCACTATGTCGACTGCTGTGCACAAACCTTCTGTAAGTGGATCAGAGGAAGCGCTGCGCCCGGTGGGAGGAAGGAAGGTTTTAGGGCTGTGCCGTCCTGTGTTCTGTAGCCTTGAGCAAGACACCTCCCCGGCCCTCAGCATCTTTATCTCGAGATGGCAACGTGGTTGCTTGACTCTTCCCTGCAAACGACATTCTGAGATTCAGGACAGCCAGGAGGGTGAGTTCTAGTTTGAGCCCAAGTCTTAGGCCAGGTGAAGACCGCTCAAAGAGAGACCAGCAGAGAGTGCGCCCCATTTCTTCTGCAGACTTTTGGTTCCGTTTAGGCCTTCAACAGGTTGGGGGGCCATCCACCTACCATGCAAATGCTAGCCACGTTCAGAAACGCCCTCACAGACACCCCCAAATAATGTGGAACCAAATATTGGGGCACCCTGTGGGCCAGTCAGTTTGAGCCATAAACTCTCACTGTAGGGATCTCAACCAGTGCTCATGTCCGGGCCATCTGATTCCCATCAGACACACAGCTAGAAGGCTACTGCCCTCACCGGGCCTTGACCTCATGGCGATTCTCCTGCCTCAGGCTCCTGAGTGCTGGGATTACAGATGTGTACCACCATGCCCAGGTCATTATTCATTCTTTCATTAATTGACCTCTGTCTGTCTGGGGTTATAATGAAAAAGGCTGATATTAATGTTTTGCACAAGTCTTTTTGTGTTTCTCATGGATAAAGGCCTAGGAGTAAAATCCCTGGGCAGAAGGTTAAGTTTATCAGAAATTACCAGTCAGTCTGGCAGGGTGGTGCAGGCTTGAGTCCTAGCACCCTGGGGAAATAAGGCAGGAGGATGTAAGTCTGAGCTTGGCCCGGACAATTTAGTAATTTAGTGAAATCCTGTCTCAAAAAATACAAAATAAAAAAGGACTGCACGTATAGCTCAATACAAAAGGTTCTGGGTTCAAGCCCCAGTGTCAAAGAAAGAATAATAGGAAGAGGAGAGGAGAAGACAGAGCAGGGGAGGGGAGAGAGTGGCTGGACCACTCACTCCCCATTCCCACCAGCACACGATGTGCTGCTAGTCGCTCTGTATCTTTGCCGTTTCATTTGTGTTTTGGTTCCGGGGAATTGCACTCGTGACCTCTGCTCACCAGGCCAGCACCGGAGCCGCTGAGCTAATTCCCAGCCCGCTACGTCTGGTGCTGTCAGCCGATGGCAGTGGTGCTGCCCTGTCCTCGCACTGTTCTGCGTGCCTGCATACTTTATTCTTGTGCTTGTCATCTCTTGAATTTTACGTGCGCAGAATGATAGCGTAATCTTCCTGCTACCGCTTTTGTTCCTCCGCTTCCTAGTCTTGTAATTCTGTCGAGCTGGAGACCACTTAGTTTTTTTTTTGTTTTGTTTTTTTGTCTTTTTCATTTTTAGCAGTACCAGGGATCGAACTCACGACTGCCTGCTTGCAAGGCAGGTGCTTATGCCGCTGAGCTAAATCCCCAGCCCTGGAGACCACTTAGTCTCTCTACTGCCACATACAGTCATTCAGGACGCTGCCTCGCAAAACTGAGCCCTCATCTGTTCTGCAGCAGGACGTCAGCGATGGCAGACAGTGTGACAGTTCTTATATAAGTCTCCTGGGACACAGGAGGGAGCGTCTCTACAATAGCAGTTAGCAAACATTTTGCTCTCAATATGCCTTCATGTTCCTAAAAATTATTGAGGACACCAGGGAACCTTTATCAATGTTTCCTAACTTGAAATTTTGAACTGAGAATGGAGGAGTGGGGTGGTTTACTCAGTTTGTGTGAGGCCCTGGGTTTGAACCCCAGCACTGAAAAAACAAGCCAGGTGTAGTAGCTCACACCTGTAATTCCAGCACTCGGGAGGCTGAGGCAGGAGGATTGTTGCAAGCTCAAAACCAGCCTGAGCTACAAAGTGAGCTCAAGGCCAACCTGAACTGCATAGCAAGACCCTGTTTCAAAAAGACAAAACAACCCACAAGTCCATTATATGTTAACAGAAATAACACTTTTAATGAATACTATATTTTAAAAAGAAAAACTATATTTTTAAAACTTAGAGAAAACATACAATATCTCACATCTCTTTAGTAGCTGGCAGGAAAGAAAATGGTTAGATTATCATATCTAGGGGCTGGGGATTTAGCTCAGCAGCATAAGTGCCTGCTTGGCAAGTACGAGGTTGTGAGTTTGGGGGAAAAAATAGATTATCATATCTTTCTAAATTCAGTCTGTTGCAATGACTTGTCTTTGTTGAAGCATCTGAAGAAAATTTGATCTCACACAAACTAGTACATGCGCTTTGGCAGCACATATACTAAAATTGGAACCACAGAGAGATGAGCATGCCCCCTGCGAGAGGATAACAAACTGGAAGAGGGGGGACTTTTGTTCTGCTTTGTAGTACTGGGGATGGAGCCCAGGGAACACTGAGCTACATCCCCACCCCATTGATTTTACTTTTTAAAATTTAAATTATTATAGATTACCCTCCAATCATTTGTGCCAAACCTGCCTGTGTATCTCTCTGCTCACTTCCCCTTTAAAAGTCCTGAAACCCTGCTGGGCAGGGTTCTGGCTCTTGGGGTCAGAAGCCCCCCTGTGTAATAAACTGCCTCCTTGACCTCCTCGGTGCCCTTTCTTCCCATGTTTGGTCTGTTTTCAGTGATGGTACGAAAGCTATTTTCAAGCCTTTTGCAGGTCTCTCATTGGGTCTTTCTCAGGGGTACTTGTTACTTCCCCCTTCTTTGTTTTGTTTTTGTTTTATGAGACAGAGTCTCACTTTGTAGCCAGGCTGGCCTCAGATTGTTCACAGTGATCCTCTTGCCTCAGCCTCCTAAGTGCAGGCGTTACAGGTGTGTAATCCACCAGGCCCAGCCCTTCCCGCTTGAGTTGGCCATTCTTTCTCATTTCTTTGTTGCCTGGTGATTTGCAATTATGTCCTGATCTTTTGGCTCGCCGTCTTTTATTAGTGTAGGCTTGGTTTCTTGCTTTATTAGAACATTTTCATAAAAAGCCCAGGCATTTCCTAAGCCCTGTGAAGGGTGACTCCATTCCAGATTCTCTCCCCCATGGCTCTTGGCTTTCAGCCTCGCTAGAGAAGGTCTACGGCACACCTTCTGCTAGGACAGAGGTAAGCCTGCCTCGTTCTTCCAAAGTTTTATTTCCTATCTAGCCGTCTAGCACCTTGCCAGCCCTCATCTAGGGCACGGTCCTTGTTCCTATAGGGTGACACCCCCCCCGGCATCTTAGCTCCGTGCCCCGGAGCCCTCGTTGGCTTGGGCTGGAATCCACGGTCCACCTCTACCAGCTCTGCTCTGCTCTCAGTCCTGTGAGCCTCTCTATCGAGCCCTGGCGATGCTGTGTCTGGTGCCAAGGACTTGTGGAGCCCTCTGAGCCTCTGCAGCCCCCCACGGTGTCTGACCCCCAGCGGGTCCAGCTGCCCTTCCTCAGTTCAGCTGGACTTAGTGTGGCACTTGGACCTGTGGCTCCGGGCTACTGGAGGGGTGACCTCATGTGACTAGCCCCAGCCTGGAAGACTCCACCTTCAAATTCCATCCCTCTGCAGGTCACGGCTCCAGCATAGGCACCTTGGGAGGACACAAACACCCAGACCACTGAAAAGGATTGGTGGGCTACTACTTAGCCAGAGCCCAAGTGGGAGGATTTTAAATTACTGATGCATTCTTTTGTAGCTGTATGAATATTTCTCCTCTCTCCTCTTCTCTTCCTTCATTTTTTGGTGCTAAAGACTGAACGCAGGGACTTCACACTGAGCTACATCCCCAGTTCTTTTTATTTTGGTTTAAAAAATTATGCATTTATTTATTTTGGTATTGGTTTTTGAGACACTCTGTAATTCAGGCTGGGCTTGAACTCACAGTGACCCTCCTGCCTCAGCCTCCTGAGCCCTGGGATTACAGGTGTGCACCACCAG